AGATCTTCAGCGACGAGAATCCCAATGCCTGCTCAGTTATGTAAGAATAGAATGTGGGATGGAGGTTACATGTGGTCATGTTAACTTTTAAGTCTTATATTTTCTTGTGTGGGTTCTTTCAAAGGAGTTTACGACTTGGGCCAATATTTTTGTAATGGGAAGTGGTAAAACTGTAAAATTTGTGGGGTGAAATTAGGGATTTGCTTTTTGTTAACTTTGTATTTAAGGTAGATATAATATATTAGCTATAACTATTAAGCAGCCGGGAATTATAGCCACAACTATTGAAATACAAATTATTAGTCAGTCGTTAAGTCTTCGCTAATACTTTTGTTAGTAATGATGACTAAGCTTTTACGATGTTGAGCTGGCTCCCACGTGACAGTCATCATATCACATTTTTTATGATGCTGACATGGCCTTCTCCGTTAAAAATTTGAAAACAGTAACAGGTTGTTAGCCAAATCTTGACCCGCAACAATAATTATGGCTAATAATTTGTATTTCAATAGTTGTGGCTATAATTCCTCGTTGTTTAATAATTATGGCTAATATATTGTATTTACCAACCTGTGTTATATAAGGTTAAATTATTAGTGAACTACTCTTCTTCTGAAGTTTTAGGCATGTTGAATAATGATTTAAGATTTATGAATAACCTATTTCAATAATTCATTTACTGAATCGAAATGGTTTTCGGCATAATGGTTTATACGTATTTGAATTCTTATAAGTTATGATGCTTCAAAAAATTAATAGTTGTCCTATATATGAATTATGATATATATTATTAAGTTTATAAACTGAGTTTTATGGAATAAGTAGTCAACACTAGGCATGTAATTTAAAATGAAATGGGAAAATGAGTGAGACCGTTTACAATATTGAGATGGGACGAGAGTAGGGTTGCAAACGAGTCGAGTCGAGTTTTTGTTTAGCTGGGCTGCAAACGAGTCGAGTTTTTGTTTAGCTTGAGCTCGGCTCGTTTATAAATTTTTTTAGCTCGAGCTCGGCTTGAACTCGAATTTTGATCATCCAGCCCAAGCTCGAGCTCGACTCGATTAAAAATAATCCAGCTCGAGTTCGGTAAATGCTCATTATCACAGCTTGTCAAACTAAGTATAAGCTCGGCTCAAGATAAGCTCGATTTGAAACCATTCATGCTGAAAAATGTGTACAAATAAGAACATTAGAAACTAAAAATAACATCTAACTTCCATACACATCCTTATTAACAAGATAATTTTCAGGTTCATAAGAGTAATTAATCCTTCCACCAGCTTTAAACAAACAAGCTCGCGAGCTTAGCTCAACAAGCCACCGAGTCAAGCTAGCTCACGAGCTTATCAAGCCGAGTAGGGCCTAGCTCAAGCTTGGCTCGTTTATTGAGCTGGCTTGTTAAACAACGAGTCGAATATCGAACGAGTTTTTTCCGATTCGAACACCAATTTGCTCGCGAGTGGCTTGGCTCATTTACCGCTCTAAATTAGAGAATTGAATTAGAGAATTGAGAAGGCAAATTTTGGGGAAGGCAAATGTAACAAATCTATATGCTATTGTCGTTACGCAAAACATGCAAACAAAGGAATTGCAACATCTTCGAGGAGTAGCTTTTTGGAAAGCATGAATGAATATTCAAACTTTCCATGTCGCTCTTTTTCAATTACCAAAAGCACTTTGCTTCAAATTGGACAAGCTAAGCTGAGATTTGAGTCGGTTAATTCAATCAGTAAAGGTTGATCGATTTGATTAGTATTTTTAGGTGCAAAGGGAAGATGGATGGCAATTGAACTTGCACGTATTCACTACAGCCCAATCTGATCGAAGTTGGTAAAATTCGACATGACGAGTTTTGAATTGAGTGCAGATAAAACCTACTTAGGAAATTGGTGAGTTGAGTTAGATGCGGGTTTGGCTAGAACCTGACTTGTTTTTTCAATCGACTCACACTGGAAAAGAAAGAATGATTTCATTTGCATCTAACGCCAGCATTATGGGTAATTTACGGATGTTATTAATTTTTATGGCAATCTAGGGATTCCACAAGCTATAGGGTTGACCATTCCAGGTATAGGGTTCGACACCCCTTCACCCTAAAATTTTGTAAAGAACCTGTATTTTTTTCCAAAAAATTTTAATACGAGATTTCCGACACCACTTTAATAATTATAGATAATACTCCTTCATTAGGCGAAACCACTCTTCAACAATCTTGGGACTGCCACTGATTCCAGGATGTCGAAGGCCAACAACGAATTGAATGCATCGGTAAGAATCCAACACGACCAAATCTAACGTACAATCTTGACAAGGATGAATAACATCGTCAAGGTTGAGATTGAGGCAACTAGGTTACCATGTAAAGAGAGGGGGGATCAAGAGGGCCACGACACCAAACAGACGATAGAGAAGGAGGAACAAAATTATAGACATATGAGAATTCTTGAACTTGATGAACAAACTATAAAGTGATAATAGTAAGGTATGCTCGATAACTACTCTATTGCAATTGGAACCAATTAGGGGTGGCAATGAGGCGGATTGGGGACGAGTAGCTAGCTCACGTTACCATCCGTCAAGACTGACGGATTTTCCCGTTCCCTTCCCATTAGGCTTAACGGGTGGAATATGGTTACCGTCCCCAGCCGAATATGGGTAAACCATGGATCACCACGGATCCTGATGACAAAAAAAAAGAGACAACCTGAAAATGACTAAATTCCTGAAATTCAAAGCACCTTGCTGTTCAAGGCACAAAAATCCAAAACACAAAAGGAAGATATGGGGCTATAACCCATATCCCACCACCCAGCACCCAGATCTTCATAGTTCAAAAAAAGTGATAGGTTGCATAAAGCAAATAAGCTGCTACAACCAATTTCCCACCACTCAAAACCCATATAACATGTTCCTCGCTACATCTACTAACTAGTGTTCAGGTTCAAAAAGAAGAGAATGAAAAACAAAGGCAATCAACCCCAATAATATCATCCATAAATCAAACTAAAACCTATACTAACACACGTGTTCCTTTGATCTTTTCCTCCAAAAGCAAGCAACAGTATGTTGGAAACCAACTCAACATTAGCATTCATCCATCAAAAGCGATCACTACAAGCAACAAAATAGTAAACACAGTTATAGAATTGAAACACATTTTAAATTGAACAAGTAAAATGGGCAGAAGTTTGGCTCTATACCTTGAACCTTTCAACAAATCATTCATCTAGGGATATGAGATGCTTCTTTATCACAAGTCCCCCTCGATCTACAATAATAATAAAATACAGTTAGAGAATTGAAACTAAGGACTAATCTTAATTGAACTAATTACACAGAAGACAGAATTGAGAACCAACTAACTTACCAACTTCCTCTTGATCTTCAGTATTGGAATCTGCAATTGCTAGAGCTGAGAACACCCCTTTCATTGCCTCGACATCAGCCTTTGATGATTCTGCAGATGCAAAAAAAAAAAAAAGACAATTAGCATTCAATCCAATTAACATTAAGAAATTCATAAGGGAGTAAGAATTTCCTCCATAATCCAACTCCCGGTACACATCATTGCCTCTACTATATCATAGTGCAATCTACTTCGATGAGGGTCTATTAACCTCCTACCAGAGCTAAAAGTAGATTCAGAAGCCACTGATGTGATTGGTGTGACCAAGAAATCCCTTGCAATTGCTTGCAAAGGTGGGTACTTAAGGCCATTTAGTTTCCACCACATCAATATATCAAAGTTAGGAGACTTATTAGGAATAAGTTTCTCAAGAAGATAGTGATCTAGCTCAGTATGGATCATAGTTGTTTTGCTCTTTTTTCTTCGACTCACAAAGAGATTAATATCATGATCATCATTTCCAGGACCAGAAGAACTACCATAAGCAATTGAAGAACCAGAATTGTTCTTCTCAGACTTGGTTTGGGAATCAAGCACCAAACAACAGATACATTGCTTAAGCTTATCAGCCACAAAGTCAGTATTGGTACTGCCAAACTTAGCAGCATAATACTCAATCACATGCAGCTTGAATCTAGGATCAAGAACCACTGACACAACCAGAACCAAGTGTATATCATCCCAGTACTTTCAGCAATAGCAGAGATAAGAGAATCGATATCAGCACACCATTCCAGCAATTTCAGTCTTAGATCACAAACCTTGGGGAAAAACAAATTAGCAGTGTGATACTCACTGCCAGAAAACAACTTAGTAATCTCACTGAAAATTTCCAGCTTATCAACGACAATGGCAGCAAAATCCCAATGCATACTAGTAGGGACAATGGTGTATTGACTATCCCACTACCCCAAACAAGAGAAAACCTCTGTATACACAATAGCAACAGATAACATATCATAGGTGGAATTCCACCTTGTTGGACAATCAAGTACACAATACTCTCTCTAACCAATTCGATGTCATCCTTGATGACCTCCCATCTTTCACAATAAGATTCAAAACATGAGCAGAACAACTTATTTGAACCAGTATACCATCCAACAACAAATCATCCATAGTAAGTTTTGTTTTCATAGGGGTAATCATGGCATCATTGGTGTTACACTTATCCAAGATAATCGAGGAGAACTTCCTATCAAGATTCCAACCAAGCAGACACTTGAACGACCTATCTCCTAACCTCTCACTAGTATGAGGGGCAGAGACATAGACAAAGCTCAACATCATGTTTTTAAGTTTCCAAGAATTCTCAACATCATGTTTTTAAGTTTCCAAGAATTGTCAATAAAATGCCCAGTCACTGCCATATACCCCCTCTATTGGTTGGTTGCAGTCCACATATCAGGTGTGACTGCAACTTTACCAATATTACCATCCTGAACCTTCTGAAACTTTTTCATTTCAGCACCATATAACCCCAGTATATCCCTCTTCACTGTATTTCTACAAGGGACAGTGAACTGGGGCTGCAAAGAACAACAGAAACGTTTAAATTCCAAGTGTTCAACAATGTTCAGGGGATATTCATGCATCATAATAAATAACACAATTCCTTCCTAGACACATCAGAATTGAATTGAGTAGCAGATAGGAGGGGTTTCCTAGTTGGTTTATAATCAGGACCAAGAACTCTCTGCCTACCATCATGTATATTTCTTTGGGTGTAAGTTTTATAATGGTTCCTTAGGTGGGAGGTTCCATTACTAGTATCACCACCTAATCGTTTTCGACAGTATCTACACTTAGCTTTAATCTCCCCATTAAACTTCACTCGCACAAAATATGGCAAGACATCAGAAGTCAATTTACGATCTTTATCAAGAATTATTTCAACATTTTCATTTTCATTTGTCGAGGCATCATTACCAGAACCATTAGCAGTAGCATTACCATTACCATTATCATTACCATTACTATTTTGATTTGAAGGCACAATAGGATCATTCAAATACAAAGCACCATCCATCTACATAAACAATTAAACAATTGCATGCAATCAATCAACCATAACTACTCAGACAAATCACACATACAAATTACAATCGAGAGTTAAATTGGAGTAAGGTTATGCCTGTACATGGGCGTGCTTGGGCCGGCACGGCACGAGCACTCTTCGAGCCCATTTATTTCGTGTCGTGCTTGGCACGACCCGTCAGTTTCATGTCGTGCCATCAAGCCCATTTTTCAACTTTGCTAGGCCCGGCCCAGGCACGGGTCGAATCGTGCCGTGCCTATTCGTGCTCGTGCCATGCTCATATTCGTGTTTAAAGAAAAGGACGAAAACAAAAGAGAGAATGAAAAAGAAGGTGAAAATTGGACGGGGGAAGATAGTATTAACCGATAATGTTTGAGAAAAGTAACAAATAGGGGGAAAAAGAAAATTGGAAGTATAGCGAGTGTGATTTGGCTTTGTTTAATTCTTTGTCCATTTTTACTTATGTTAGTAATTACGTATATATCTTTATGACACTTCTAACAACAACAAATAATTATTTTTCTACTTGTGTTTTGTAATATTTGAACCTATAATTATTTTTATACTTATTTTCTATCAAATAAATATTATTTTCGTGCCATGTCTGTTCTTATACTCAATAAAGTCTCAAAAATATTAGGCCCGACACGGCCCACTTATATACCGTGCCGTGCCCGTGCTCGTGCTCGTGCCCATGAAGTTTAGGCCCGACACGGCCCATAAATTATTTGTGCTCGTGCCGGGCTGACCCATTTATTTTGTGCCCGTGCTCGTGCCGTGCTCTAACCGTGCAGTGCCGTACTAGGGCGGCACGGCCCGGTGCCCACGTACAGTTATGCCTAACCTTTAATCTGGAGAGGGAGACTCTGTTCAGCAGACTGCAGATGGTGAGCTGATGTTGGGAATGAATAGCTTTGAAAGCTATATTGAATTAATTATCCTGTATTCTTTCTAGATACGAAAATAAGAAGGATAATTAATAAAAAGAATATTATGGAGATAATTATGATTAATTATCTTAATATAATATATTTTAATTGTGGAAGTAATTATCTTCCTAATTAAATGTGGCTTATTCCCAAAGAAAGAGGGAATATTCTAGGTTTTCTGCTCCTATAAATAGCAGTCCCCTAGACCCTCTAAACACCACCTCAGAGAGCAGAAACACGAGATAGAGAGTGAGTTCATAGAGCTCCGGTTTTCGCACAAAATCGATGAGCAACAAAATAAGAGTGGCTGTTTTATCCTGGAGGCGACCGGCTGATAGTCTGCCGTGCGCAACGAAGGCAGTGCCGCGAACGTCTTAAAGAGAGCGACCTAGTCCGCGACTCAGCCAGATCGGTAACCCTAATTTTTCTGTTCGGTTTCTAACAATTTTAAGACGTTCGGATGCTGTCATATGTACCGAACAGATCGATTATCGCATCTGGCTTTGCATAGAAAGATCGTAACCGAGACGCAAACACTGGGCGACAAGACAATGGCGATTGGAGGGAGTAATTTCGTGCCCTCAATTCCGTATATTCAATATTGTGCATTTGAGTGGTCCTGTATAATTAAGTGCTCTTGTCCATCCGCCTCTTCTTCTCTTCAATTGCGCCATGGTTGCTATTAATTGCTCTTGTCATAAGTCCCAGCAAGGGAAGCTTTTGTGCTTGCGGTGGAGAAACAGGAAGGGACTGGAAGCGATTATTGCTGCCCTCCACCAATCGCAAACCCCTCCTAATCCCCGGATCTCTCTACTCTATATTCTGGAGTTGGCGGGATTAACTTGGCGGGAGTTTGGTATACAGAGTCGTGGCGGTGGGCACAATAATGATCGTTAAAGGAAACTGATTGTGGCAGGGAATAGAAGAATTCCCGAGGGAAAATTTCGGCCAAACAATCGATGAAAAAAACCGTGAACCAGAGAGAGCTTGATGGGAATGCAATTTGTGGGCTCTTCCGGGCAATTAATTGGAGCGGCGGACCGGGATACGAAAGAAGGGAGTAGTTTTGTGCCCTTCAATTACGTATAATATGTCGCTCTCGTCCAATTAATTACTTACAATTAACTTTTCTATCTGGCTTTGCTTTGCCCGAGAAACATAGGTGGCTACTGGACAAGGACATCGAAATAGGGATGGCAATGGGTCGGGTTGGGTCGGGTTTTGCCAAACCCAAACCCAAACCCAAACCCATGGGTTTATCCGTGAAAAAACCCGGGGTAAAACCCACTGGGTTTGAAAAACTCAAACCCAACCCAACCCGCTGGGTATCCGCGGGTTCATGGGTACCCACGGGTTTTTGTCGTAAAAAATTTACAATAACATGTTCCTATCAAAATTAAAGTCAAATATCAATCTCTCAATACAAATTATCCATATTTAAAACACTATTCTAGAAAATTCAAGCAAATCACAAATTAACTATACAAATTGTTCAACGCAATCTAGAAAACTCAAGAAAATTTAAGTAAATCATAAATTATCCATAAATAACATATTAATTGAAGGCTTCTTCCTTTCAATTAAGTTTCTTCACTCTCCACTCGATAACACAAACTTCATTCTACACAATTAGAAAGAAAAAATTAGACATGTCTCCACAAACATAAATAAGATCAGTTGTTTAAAATATGAAATATACCGAGAAAATTAATTATATGTGTGGGCGGGTACCCACGGGTCGGGTTTACCTAAACCCAAACCCAACCCAATCCGGTGAATAGTGAACGGGTTTAAACCCAAACCCAACCCAAAACCCGTCAACACGGATTTTACCCGCGTTGACCGGGTTGGGTCGGGTGGGTACCCGTAGGTTCGGGTTTGGTTGCCATCCCTACGTCGAAAGTATGCCTCGCGACGGGAAGGCAGACTGGGTCTAGCAGTCAGTTGGGCCAAGTTAATGAAAGAATGTGCCCGGTCCAATTTATTGTTCGAGGCCCATCAGCAAAAAAGGATAGGTGGACATGTGCGTGGGTTAAGCAGGCGTGTTTGATTTATTATAGGTTAAAGAAATCAAGCTATCCAGCCATGTAATGGACGCTGATGAATTTGTGGTGATGGGCCGACCTGTTTCCAGCTTTGTAAAGCTCAATTGTTCGAGAAGGCAATGCGTTCTCGAAAGAGGTACGAACTGATATCATTCTCGTGTGTTATTCATGAATGATAGATTGGAACTTATCCAATATAGCTCTATGCATGAGATTGATAAATTTTGAGAATGCTAGAGAAGCTAGAGTCAATGCTTGACATTGAGATGTGTCTTTTCCAATGATTAGAGTATAAATTGAATGCATGCTATGAAAAGAATGATTTTGTCTAAATGCATATATGTGAAAAATATATGGGAATAGAATGGGTTTGTTGCCCATAATAACGATATTGTAAGAATTACTATTATTAGTATTACACGAACCACTTAGGTTGCTGTGAAACATTAAAGTTTCAAGAATGAGAGCAGCAAGCTGAACCAGATCCACACCAATTAGAATGGTACCCATTGTGGTAACCATAAGATTGTCACACAATTCTCTAAGAATGACGCTATGTTTCTCAATTAAATTTGAGAAAAACTAGGTCATATGACACGAAAGTGTTAGAGCAAGTTTAACATAGTATTGTGTTAACTTGATTAAAGAAGAGGATTTGGCAATAATAATCGCTTAGGTGATGACAGAGGTTAGCCTTAATGGTAACTCTGAAGAATGGTTGTTGGAAACTGCCGCCTCAAGGCATGTGTGTGATAAACGAGCTAAGCTCAATCATACATAATTGAGGCGTATTGAAGGAGAAAGTGTTGTTGGGTAAGACGCTCACCACTATTGACGATGGTTCTAGGAAAGTGGAAGAGAACCATACCTCTAGAAAGTCATTGACTATCCTAGATGTAAGGAATGGTTAAGTAGATAAGATAAATTCTTCCAAGTGTGTTTTTGTGAAGAATTAGAATATCTTATATCGCATTCCCATATTATTATTGGATGCTTGAGAAAAATATGAATTTTGTATATTCAAGCTAAATGACCCATAAATATGTGGTTAGAGAATCAGAATCGATAGATCTGATTTAATTTGATATGGGTAAACTTGATGGAAAAGACAATAAATGATTTATTGCTCTTTAGAGTGCTCTGGTTGCCTAACTAGTTATTCGAAATGATTTGAAATGCCTAGTTGCATTATGGTTGCACTGATTATTCGATATGTGGCATGCAAGTGGTAGCGTTAGAAAATCAGTGTAGCATGATAACTAGAAGAGCATATGAGTGTGTTTTATGTTGTTTACAATTAAAACACATAGTTCCTATGAAACGAAATACTCATGTTGTTTTGAAATCCATTAATGCCAAGAAACTTCCATTTTAAATCAAGAAATAGTGGGGGTAGTGTCCTGCCTACTATTAGAAATAATGGAACCAGTGGGGGTAATAAATCTGAGTTTAAACTCAGAAGAAACAAATGAACCTGAAATCTCGTAAGGTTTTTGGTTATGAATTTGTTATTTACACCCTAAGAAAGAAAGATCCTACAAGTCTGCTAGAAGTTCGAACTTCCATAAAGATGCAGAATTGTGGGAGAATCCATTGTTAACGAAATGGAATTATTGGAGTCTAATAAGACTTAAAATCTTGTAGAGTTACCTCTTGGTTGAAAAGCCTTGGGTAATATCTCGATAGAATCGAACAAGATTTGGCATCTTGGAGAATTACCTCTTGACAATGAAGTCATGGGTAATAAATGGATTCTTAAAAGAAAAGTGAAACCTATTGGTTTAGATTATGAGTATAAGGATCGCCTAATAGCTAAGGCTTTAAGAGAAAAGGAAAAAAATTGTAAATTTTCTTGTTATCTATTCACCATATGTAGAATAACATCCAAGTATGTTCTGATTGCTAGTGTTGTGCGTCAGATGGATCGTTAAACATGTTTCTGTGAATGGTGATTTAGATAGAGAAATCTACATGGGACAACCTATAGGGTTGTTATTCCTGAACATGCTTAGGGAGT